GTCATTTTCTCTCTTAAGTCCAAACAGGCCAGACCAGAAAGGACTGTTGGTATGCTAAGCCTGCCCTACTTTTCCAGCCAGAGCCCTTGTGCTACTGTGGCTGCTGCTGGGATGGAAGCCTGCCAGCATTGACTCTGTAGGACCTACAGTGCGGCAGGTGTAGCAGCTGCCCTCGAACTGTCTGTGCCTACTAAGCCTGTGGACTAGCGGGTTGGGCACCTGCTTGCGGCAGAGGTGTGCTGCCTCTGGGCGTGTGGGCGTGAGAAATGCCCGAGCTGCAGCTTTATGTCATCAAGTGTCCCTGGAACCCTGAGAGTGTAGATTGTAGTCAGCATAAAGCAGAGCCGGAGTAGGGGTGAGGCGAGGCCTGGGCACTCAGCCGGCCTGCTGCCCTAGGCCTAAAGTTTCTTCTCTTGGCTCTGTTTTGGATGCACACAACCGGTGTCCCCCTTCCCTTCTCAGAGGTGAGGACCAGTTTCCTGCTGAAGGCACCTCAGCTTCCCTCTTCAGTGTCCTCATGGCTTCTCACTGTGTGGACTTAGCTAAGGCTGTAACTTTGTGTCCAAGACACAAGCAGGGTGGTTCTCAGGGTGGATGATCACTTCACCAGTCTCGGAGAGTAGAGGCCTTTGGGGCTTGGGGATGTAAAATCACAGGGGTTTCTGTTGCCTGCCAGGCACAGTTTGACTCTCAGAGACTCTCTAATGATGGTTGCCTACTGTAGCACAGAGCAAGCCAGGATGTTTTGTGTGTGTGTGTGTGTATGTGATTGTGTGTGTGGGTCCTCATCTGTCTCCTGCACAGATCACTAATGTCTTGTTGTTTTTCGAGACACGATCTTTTGTCTTAAGCCAGACCACAACTTGCCATCCTCTTGTCTCAGTCTCCTACATGCTGGGATTACAGACTCAAACGCCATCCTGCAGTGTGCACGGGCTGGCACGCTGCATAAGGCTCTCCTTTTGCATGGTGGCAGGGACCCTCTTCTCTCCTGTTTCCCTCGAAGCTTGTTGTTCCTTATGCAAATTTAAAGCCCAGCGTTCCTGTTTTTCACCTGGCCCCTAACTATCCCCATTTGACTGTCACACTCCCGAGGCTTCTCTTACCACTCACATCATACAGCTGTGTGCTTCCGCCGTGTGTTGTTCGAGATTCTTCAGCTTTGGTGCCCAGTGTCTCCAACCTGCCATTTTAAGCAGTCTCTGGTAATATAACTTTACTCTGTATGATTACTCAAGCTTTCCCAGGTGGACTAGATATTAAGAGCTCCTGCAGGGCAGTGGTGGCGCACACCTTTAATCCCAGCACTCAGAAGGCAGAGACCGGCGGATCTCTGCGAGTTTGAGGCCAGTCTGGTCTACAAGAGCTAGTTCCAGGACAGGCTCCAAAGCTACAGAGAAACCCTGTCTCTGGAAAAAAATAAAGAAAGAGAAAAGAGCTCCCTTGGACTGATTTCCCAACAGTCCCGGTGCCCAATCTTCAGCCGCTCACTTCTAGTCAGGCTCTGATGGCTCTTAGAGCCTTAGCTCCAGTGCTATACTCACCCCATCCCTGCAGGAAACCTCAGGGAAGAGGAGCCCTGGGGTCCCACTTACATCTGCAGACGTGGCTCTGCTTGGGCTCACCTCAAGCTTTGTTACATACGATAAGAGAGCATGAGGTACTGGGTCTATACCTTCTTGCTGTGTAGGGATTGAGTCAGGAGCAAATTTTAAGTCACAGGAAATCGCAGAGAAGCAGGCCCAGGTGCTGTGTGCCAACCATGCCTTCAGCTGTTACATCCAAATTCTTTCCATATATATTGCTTTGTTTAGTTTTTGCTTTTGTTTTTCCGAGACAGGGTTTTTCTGTAGCTTTGGAGCCTGTCCTGGAACTCGCTCTGTAGACCAGGCTGGCAGCTGGCCTCAGACTCACAGAGATCCGATTATTTCTGCCTCCCGAGGGCTGGGTTAAAAGGCATGCACCACCACTGCCCTGCTTCATTTACTAATTCTTATTTCTGTGTGTATGCATGCATGCATACGAATAGGAATTCATCCAAGTATGACTGTATATGAAGTTCATCATGTGATGGCTCCACAGGACCAACAAAAAAAAAGGGGCTTCTTGTGGGAGTCAATGTTCTCCCTCTGCCATGTAAGTCTCAGAGATAAAACTTAGGTCATCAGGTTTGGTAATATGCACCTTTACTAACTGAACCATCTCACCAGCCATGTATGTATGTATGTATGTATTTAAAGACTGTCTTTGAATTTGCACTTCTACCATCTTCACCTTCTGAGTGGTAGGAGATAACAGGCATGTGTCTTTGTTGTAATGATTTAAATAAAATGCTGCAGGTCCCCAAGTGGCAGCAGTGGTCAGCAAATGCAGCTGGGCCAGGCAGTGAGCCCCCAAGTGGGCTGTGGGCCACGAGGGGCAGCGGATCTCAGGTATGGAGGCACATGGTGGGTGAGAGACCTCGGCATGAGGAGTGGTAGCCTTGGCAGGTAAGAGACTGATGGATAGGCACACCATGCAGAGTAAGTGGGTATTTATTTAGTGGGTTATTGAAGGGAAGGGAAGGGAAAGGGAGAAGGGGAAAGAGAAGAGAGAGAGAGAGTAGGAAAGAGGGAGGAAGGGAGGGAGGAGGGGGTGGAGGAAGGGAGTCATGGCAGCAGTTACCTCTTCAAGAAAAGGGAAAGACTTGGGCTGTAATCAGGAAGGAAAATCTGCCTGCCTTAGCAGGCAGATGGGGAGTGGGTAGGTGGGGCTTGTCTCTTAAAGGGACAGGACAGACGATTACAATTACTTTGTATTACTTTCATACAAAAACAAACAATTCTTCTCAGTAGAGATTGAAATTGAGAATTACCAAAATAAAATAATTTGGAATTTAATACTTATGTTTTTGTATTAATAATTAAAGTTCTTTTTAAAAAATAATTTTGTTCAACAAAGAAGTGTTCCTGTTGAATGTGGTGAGGCTCACATATAATCCTAGCACCAGTGAGGCTGACACAGAAAGATCATGAGTTCAAGGACAGCCTAGACTTTGTCTACAGCAAACAACAAACAAAATGGGAACGAATAAATATAAATAAATATTTGTGAAATTAGACATTGTTTTAAAAGCAAACCAAGGACTATAAGTTCGTTATTTTTTTGAATGTTAGGTTGCTAGTTTTTAAAAGCTTTATCCATTGAGGCATTGTGGAGGTCCAAAAATTGAGCCTGTTTCTACCTTGTTTAAAGGTCAGAGAGTTGCCGGGCGATGGTGGCGCACACCTTTAATCCCAGCACTCGGGAGGCAGAGGCAGGCCTGGTCTACAGAGCTAGTTCCAGGACAGGCTCTAAAGCCACAGAGAAACCCTGTTTTGAAAAACCAAAAAAAAAAAAAAAGTCAGAGAGTTTCAGCTGGTTCAAAGTCGTTGACTGGAGAGGCTACACACCCTGACCTAGGTAGGGTGTAGTTGCTTTGTGTTTTTGACATTAAGCTGGCCCACACAGGTAGATCCACTCCACCCTGACCAAAGGTCAGGAAATTCTGTCTTACATCTTTTGAAATAGGTGGTTTGACCTAGGGAATGGCTGCCTTTAGGATACTTGGTCTAGGGTGGGTTCACTGCCTAAACAACAGAATGCTTTTCCCACGGTTTAATGAATTGATGTCTCAAGTATTGAAGCAAATAACTGTTCTAGTTGCCTTTTGTATCCTGTTAAGGCTGTCTTTTGTCTTCTTCCCTTTTTGTATTGGGGTATAAAAGTGTACGGAAAATTAAACGTGACAGACTCAGTATTCTGTTTTTTTTTTTATAAATATTTATTTATTTATTATGTATACAATATTCTGTCTGTGTGTGTGCCTGCAGGCCAGAAGAGGACACCAGACCCCATTACAGATGGTTGTGAGCCACCATGTGGTTGCTGGGGATTGAACTCAGGACCTTTGGAAGAACAGGCAATGCTCTTAACCTCTGAGCCATCTCTCCAGCCCCAGTATTCTGTTTTTATTATTTTTCACTCATGTCTTCTTATTCCAATCCCCAAGCCCCTACCCTGGTAAGTGGTATTTTTGTCGAAGTTGGTCTCTGACAGGCATTTTATTTATATGTATATTTTATTTCCCTGGGAAAAGAAGTCCAGCATTTTCCCTCCTCTGTGTTTTCATTTTGCTTCTGCAGGGTTCATGATGCTCTTGAGCTTGTGAGTATGAAGAAACCATACAGTCAAGGCAGAAGTAGACCACGCGGTTAGATATCTAGGTCTTTTGACTACACCCTAAATCTGGGGCAGATCATTCTACACCTGTTCCACCTGCCTGTGTGGGTCACACTGATTTTCCCACCTCTGTTAATCAGTGATTTTAATACATCAGCCTCACAGAGGTTCACCATCATAGCGAGAACCTGGCTGATGACTTGGGGACACAGGCAGGTGGGAGCCCAGCACTTGCCTGTCTTCAGCACTGAGTGGCCATGTGTGCTGTGGTTAGCGGGGCACAGAAGGAGGACACAGAGAAGAGTGTTCACTCTGGTAAGCAGCTTGACCCTCCTTCTGGAATACTCTACAATCAACACAAATGAATCAAATGAGAGAGACATAGAAGGCTTTTGTGACAACCCCTTCCCCCCCAAAAGTAACGCCCTAGATAGGAAGTCATCAAAGAGAACTCTTAAAAATTGTGATAAGGATGCTGAAGTGTGGTTTTCCACCATAGGTGGCTACTGGCGGGGGTGGGGATGTGGGGGTGGGAGGGGTGGGATGAAGCCACCAGGAGTCTGACAGTGCTTCAGCGACTCTATGGACAGCACAAATTGAACTTTTAAAAATCTTTTGTTTTTTTGGGGGGACTGGGGAGTAAGGGTGATGGGGTACGTTATGTAAAATTCCCAAATAATCACCAAAAATATTTTTTTTTTTTAAAAAAGAAGTGGGTACAGCAGGGAATGGTGTTGAATGATGGTAATTCCAGAGTGTGGGATCTGGAGACGGGAGGGTCAGAGGTTCAAGGTCATCCTCTGTTCTGTTGCGAGTTCCAGTTCGGTGGCCAGCCTGGGCCGTATGAGACTCTGTTTCAATTTACAACGAAACCAAGACAAAAGCAGCACATGTGGGCGCTCCTCATGAAGTCTCCCCTGTGGAAACAGGCGCTAGAAGAACTTAGTGTGTGCGGGGAAACAGTCAGAACCTGGACTAAGAAAGAAGCAGCGAGTCAGATACAGCAGGTAAGTCGTGAGGTCAGAGGACGCGTGACCAACAAATCAGAGGTTAACAGCGGAAGTGCCTTTAACCTCTCCTCCTTAAGAATGCCTTGAGGGGTGAGCCCGTGAGCCTAGTGTCCAGCACACTTTGTTTATGTAGTGAAGTTTTTTACAAATCTGGCTTGGATTTGTGTGGACTCTCATCTCTCTGTTACTAATTAGCCGTGAGAACCCGAGCGAGCACTGCTCTCTAATTTCCTTACACTTTCCTAATGGAAGAGAAGAGAAGCACAGGGGGTAATATAGACATTGAGCATCGCACTGGTTTATAAATCATTATTCATACTTTTGATTGGTTTAGCAACTTCTTCTGTGGGGAGAAGAAGACACAAGACAAGAAAGCTGGACTTTCCCAGTACCTGTGTTAATGGATTTTCAATCAGTGTGGACCCCACCTCTTCCTGCACCCCACCCCATTTCTGCATGTGTTCCTTGGTTTCTAAAGCCCCAGTGCTTCATACCTGAAGTGGAAGATTAGCAAATTCGACCAAGAAAAGAGCATTTCTTAAGTAAACAGTAAGGAGCTCCGAAGAGCGGGACCTGCAGGTCTCAAAGGCCTTGGTCCCTGATGGTCCAGTTCTATTTTGATTTATGTCAGCCTGTAATTGCCCCTGTTTTGACCCAAGAGAGGATTGTGTGGGAAGTTTGTCTGTGAGATAGAGCTGCGGCGTTGCTCTGCAGAGTGTCTGGAGCCTAAGTGGATTGCAGTGTCCCCGTCCAGCCTCTGATAAGTAGGGAAAGTGCCCGCTCTGCTCAGCTGGGAGGTCAGCGCAGTTGCTAAACCTATGTACGCATTCTGTGAGGAAAAGGACAGCCCGTAGTAACATCATCGAATTGTGAGTATATGTTTTTTTCTCTAAAATAAGACGCTTTTTAAAAAAATCTTTTGCTGTCTGAATTAAATATGAATGCCAATTTTGTGGTCAGTTTATCTGTCTGCCACACTGTAGAATGTTAACAGAAAGGCCATTTTTGAGATCTTTAGCCTCTACCATCACAATTTCTTTTTGGCAAAATTGAATAATCTGGCTGTTACCGTAAGAGTTAAGCCCTAAAAGTCATTTTCCTTAAACAGAATATTTTGGGGAGTGCAGTGGATTACGCAGTAATTTCCTTCTTGCCTAGAGAAGCTCAAATCAATTTTGGGCTGTGACTGGACTTAGTTGACAGCTGATCTAAGAATGTGAGTTGTCCAGGAATGATGCTCCCTGCTCCATTTGCTAAGTGAAACCTGTCTTTAAATGATGAACTCGCTGATAGTGTTTACAGTCTTGAAAGGCTAGACCGTAAGTAGGTTCAGAACAACATGAAGTATATTCTGTTTAAGACATCTCTGTTGAAACTGTTATGATGCTATAAATACAAAGATTAGATGAAGGAAATAGGTCAAATTATGCTTCTTTATTTCTGAAATATAGATGTATTAATTTCATAATATCACTGATTTTTTAAATATTAGCATGTTTTCTTTTCTGCTATCATTATTAATCTATTAAATATTTTAGGTAATATGAATAAAACACCTTTTTAAAAAACTATATGCACAATTGTGTGGCTCTTTTTGCATGAGCTATTTAGACTAGATGAATCTGTTGCGAAGGGAAGGAGACAGGTGGTGGCAGGTGTTCGGGGAAGAGGATGAGAGGTGACATCTCACGGATTTGGGGGCTGGGAAGGCATTAAGGTGCTCTGGGCTTACATGGTGATGGCAGCTGCATCGAATATGAATATTCTGAATTCTATAGTTATGGCTGAATTTTATGGGTTAACTACATGTCGATAAATTACTATCAAAGCCACAGGTTAACACACACAGTATAGAAGTGCCTTCTTATTCTAAAGCGATTCTCATAAAGGAGTCGATAAACCTTTTTTTCTGTTGTTCAGAGACATTCTTCTCATTTTCTCCGACTAGGGTTAATTCTGACTGGAGAACTTTGGCTCGAAGATGCGTCACCATGCAAAAAAGAACAACTCTGCCATGCAGAACATTTTTGCAATGATGCACTATTCTTTTAGAAGTCCTGTAAAAATGAAAATATTTTTCCTTCTAGAGCAATCTACTTCTCGCCTATGTTAATTTATACCGTATTTTTATTCATAATTCAAATGGTGCACACTGCAAGAGTAAACCTAAAAATCATGAAATTCCCACTATGCACGTCTAGTTATCAAGAATCAGTGGTTTTTCTCCCTGCTAGAACTCTAGATAGATGAAAATTTTGGACACCAATTTTTGATTGAGGAGGAAATGCAGAGGCTTTATAGAATGAAGGATCTTTTTTTTTTTTTAGCAGAATACCAGAGACAACTTGTGAAAAATATACTTTTAGTAAAGTTATATTTATTAAAGGGATAGCAGATTTTTTTATCCATGCCAAGTTGATTATCTTGATAAAAGGTCTTCTCTAGCTAAGCTATTTGTTTTAAATAAATATTTATTATGAAAGATAACTAGACACAATCTTTCCAGGTCCGCAGAGGCCTTTCTCTCTGGCCAGGCAGAAACTTTCTCATGCCTTCAGTTTACTATTAATCTACTTGAGAGTTTTAAAAGTTGTCTTCTGTTGTATTTATTTACTTGTGTCGTTTGTGAGTGTGTGTGCTTGTGCGGATGCACGGACGGTGGAGCGTGGGCGCGGGGCGGAAGACGACTGTGGGAGCTGATGCTCTTTCCGTCACGAGGTGTCAGTCGTCAGGGTCGTCACGCTTGACGGCACGCGCCATCTCGCAATCCTACTGAATGTTCAAAACTCATTTATCGATAATTTATTTTTGAAAGTTTTATTTTTGCTACATATCTATATACGATACTCTTATCAAATATTTTAAGAACTTCATCATCAAAACTTGCAGATTAAAACATTGTCGTGGAATTAAATACTAAGAGCCTGAAATTGATGGTGATGAGAGTATTACTGTGAGCACACAACACAGATATGGATTTCATATTTTGAAAGACCGCTCTCTTCAAGAGGGTAATTGGTGTTTACCTCTCCCATGCATCCTGGATTATAACTGGTCCAGATCTGATGGTAACAGATCTGATGTAGCCACTATTTTAAGGCTTTTTTTTCTTACCAGGGTAAGAAGAATGTGATTTTAGAATGCTGGTTTTTATAACATGAACCCTGACAATGGCATTATTACAAGGTACTTTTGTGTGGTCAGATTGTTTTTTGTTCAATATGACTTGTCAGGTGAACCATTAAACAGCAAAGTCTTATGTAAGCAATGTGAATTGATTTTTTTTTTTTTTTTG